ACGAAGGTACATAATATTTAAAATATGGATATACACAGTGACTAAACAGTCAATGATGACACTCGGTGCTTTATCCGGAAAATATCCTGATACATTGCGGAAGTTTCCAACACATTTTGTATTTTTCATGTAGTCGCACCATGTGATAAAATTAAAACATAGTATACCATAATTATGGACTGATTTTTAAAAATATAAAGACTAACTCATATATTATTAATATTAAAATATAATAGTGGTATATTTGTTTCTGATTCTAAGCATAATTGAGATAAAAAGAAAATAATAACCTTATATTGATACAATTTATGGGCAACGAGACTTGCATTCTACCTATAAAATAAATAAGTAAATCATATAGTACACAAAGTAATTTTTATACACTGATATGATATCACGAGTCAAGGTATAGGAAATCAGTTAGACCTTATAGATTTTATATGAATATTTTCAACTATATTGGTCTTGTCAGTTTTAATTTCAAATGTTTCTCCTGATTATGTACAAATGAAATTCAGGAACGACGGCTTTAATAAAAAAGTTTGCTTTTTACATTGTGGAACTTTGTAAAGGGGCTTCAACACAGATTTACAGTAAACACTTTCTTAAATGTTTCATATATCGTGACTTTAAAGTATGTTGCTATATAAAAGTTCACACGGAAATACGTGAATAATAAAACGACTTATTTTATAAGAAAATATTGAACGTACGATGTTCGGGACGCGTTTAAATGACACACCCTTGCTCTTTCACAAAGTAATCTTTGTCTTTAATACTAAAGAAAAGTAAAAATTTTGTTGTGTATTAATTAACATTATTAAAACTATAATTTAAAAAATCAGAGTAGAAATGTGAGAAAGCAAAACCAACTTGCCAGAATTGCCAGTCTGTGCTCAGTGTGATGTATACACATTTAACACATTAATCACACTGCACACAGTGCACAGATATTACCTTTAATTATGTGGCCCAGTAATAGTCTCAAAGAGAGATGTCTTAACTAAACCTGTATCCATACGGAAAAGAACAATATTACTACATATAACACAGCTTAACCCTTCTTGAAATTGGTCTTTTACAAAATTTTGCTTTTTAGTCATGCATTTATTATGCATAATTTTAAAATAAGTTTTGTCCCATCCTTACCCAAGAGTTTATAATTCAAAAGAAATTATATATGTGGCTTAACTCTTGAATTCTCTACAAAATAAAAAAAAATATGTTGTAAAGATATACATACATGTACATCAAATAAAAAAAAACATATCAATAATCAATTTTCTACGAGTCCTAGTCGAAAGTACTTGACAAATAAAGGTTTGGTGGACTAAGTCTATATATAGCACTGCAGGTAACCAGGCAACATTTAAATGAGAGAGCATGGTAATTACGATCAGCACTGGCTTTTACTTAGTCACAACAGTCCAGAACAGTCTTTTTACTCATTTAAAAATTAAGGGTTCATGTATTTGACTTGATTTGTATTCTAATGCAAAGCATAAATGGAAGCCATAAGACATTCTTTTAATGATTTTTATTTGATTCAACATATTGTAGAGTCAGAGACCAAGATCTGCTCCTAGAATGAGTTTCTTGAATATATCTGTATTGACAAAAGGCTAAATTGTGATCAAGACTTCAATTGTCGAGATCAATTCGACGAGTCCGCTCATTACGCCGGATGTGAAGGCAAGGTTTCATTTCTCGCGCCTGAATTAATAAAGATAAATTATTTGATAAATTTCAAGCATGTCTATTTACTGACGATAATATAATTATTATCATAAGTTTAAAAATATTCAGAATTTTATTCCATCGATACTTTTAAATAAACTTATTATGAATATAGAATAAATGTACTATTTTCAGGGGGAAGTAACAAAGAAATAAATAAAAAATATAAATTTAATAAATTTTTGGCTGATATGCAGTTTTGCAATTATCATAAAATAGTAAATTATGTACATCTCCTCGAACCCCTCAGGCTCGGTCAATATTGTGCTCCTTGCATAGCTTCATCATTATCCTACTGACCTAAAAAAAAAGCAATGGTTGCATATTGTTTTACCTTTAAAATGTATTCCTATATAAATCAATACTGATAAAAGTCTAATATTTCCAATGTAGTGCTGAGCGGCGATATTTGACCGCGGATGAGATATTGGACCTTTCAATGAGATGCTGGACTGTTGACGACACACAATGGGCGGTTCCAACTAAATTCATTTATATTCGTTGATGTTCGACATACGCGCATGCCAAAAATAAATAAATTAAATTTTCTCCAGTTAAATGCGTTTTATCGACCCCGCGAACAAATGTATTTAATTCTTAAGGCCGACAACAAGCATGTTGCCCTTGAACCCAATCAACAAAATGTATAATGTTTTCCATGACAATGAATTGCAACATTAGTTACAGATAATGTTACATAAAGAACTATATGCGGTATATTGCATATATTTGCCCCCACAAAAGTCAAATTTTGAAAACTTCCTGAAATGTGCTGAATTCAATAAATTGTATGAGAGATATGAATTAACAGAAAATATTATAGTTTTAAAGCAGTGTATTCACAATTTTTGTTTTTATGACGTCACAAACTAGTCCGATTTTATATCCTTTTTCAGAAAGAGGACAAAATGGACAAAATTTCAACAATTTTAGCTTTAAAATTTATAGAGCGCAGGTTTGTTCAGGAACAATATTGACATATTTCATTGATATTATCATTATACACATTATATCAAAATATTGATCCTGAACACACATGTGCTCGGTGACTTTTACTCAAAATATCGACGAACTATGTACATTTTTCTGTAAAATTCATTAAAAAAATGAAATTTACGTCATGTTTGTGACGTCATTACGTACATATGACGTCATTACTTATGAAAATATTCAGTGCTTTGAAGTCAGCATATACTCCCCTGTTTAAGAACTTAATTAAATATAACTTTATCAAAGTTTGATTTGGGGGGGCAAATATTGGTTATTACCGAATAAAGTTCTTTAATTGAAATTAAAAAAAAAAGGTTAATCAACAGACAAAAGATTTTGATGTAAGCAGATTTTCGTATTACGAATTCAAATTCATTTTGCTGATTATATAATACCTAAAGATAGTAATTATTTAAATTTTTTAGGACTGCTTGCAAAATGGACTGACATAAGCGCAGCCTCAAAATTCAGAATTATCGTGGGAGTATTTAGTGCATCTTGTTTGCTTCTGTGTTTACTGGTGACATGTTGCTGTTCCTGATCATCTCCATCCAGGAGTTATGAACGACTTAAAGATTGAAAATATCACATTTGTCTTGTCATATTTTTTCTAAAATCAATAATCTTTTTTGTCACTTTTTTCTTTGAGTTATTGAATCATATGAAATGTTTTTAAACAATTTTTCTTTTTTCTCTGTGTAGAGAAATTTGTTTTCAGAAATACAGCTAAATAATTAAACATCTCTCTCTCTCTTTCTTTTTTTCTCTTTCTCTCTGTTATGGGATAAATCTATATATTATATTATATTATGACATCATAGCAAAACATATTGACTAAACACAAAGTCGATCCCTTTCTTTGAAGTCGATATAATATTATCCTTGGATTGACTTTATCAACGGGTCACATTTGTAATATCATTTTCTAAGAAACAAATAAAATGGACAATATTTAAAAACAAATTTTTTAAAAGCTTTTCACTATAATTATAAACACATCTTTAGATTTTTTTTTATAATTTATTATTTGTATAAACTTAAGTCGTAATCTTGAAATATATCATTTTGCATGATATATCTTTTTTTTTTTTTATTAGAAATGTTGATCGTATTTCTTGACTTTATTCATCATATAACTTCCAAACACACTCATCAGCAAAAAAAATCTACATAGGGATGTTGAATAATTGAATTATATTTAGTTTTCTCTTCCTCATTGCTGATATTTCAAAACAAAGGTCAAAATAAATCACTGAATTTTGACTTTAATTTATGTATTTTAGTTATCCCTTACAATATTTTACATATGAGAAAATATCTATTCATCTTCTGAATTTTTAGCAAACAAGGAGTATACAGTATTTCATGAAATATACATTATACAGTGTATACATAAATATTGTACAACTTTGCTGATTCTTAAACTTTAATTTTATGTTTAATATGTTTAATGCTACATTTTGCGAAAAATATAGCAGGTGTTTTCGTTCACATGTATACAATAGTTGAAAATAACGAGATCAAGTAGATCTACCTAAAAGCAAATTTACAATAAGTCCTGGGAAAGAAATTTCAATTTCACCCACTTAAACAACTTTCAAAATGGCGAAACTAACAGCAATTATGATTATAATTGAATTTATGTATTAAATGCGTTGTTTATTTATTAAATACGTTGTATTTACACGTGTGTGATGGTTTATGTAATAGATATTGCAGGCTGGGATTTTACGCCGATGGTATGCGAAATTCCAGCCAATGATTAGCGGGCTAGGATCACGTGGACAGCTGAACGGATCACTTGTATTTTTATTCCCGCGCTGTCCACAGTAATTTTGGAATCACGTATATTTTGAAGATATTTCCTGAAGAAATCCAAGAGATTTGCGATTTGTAAGTTACGTTACTTGAAAATATTGTATTATTTAGTAGGCGTTTAGTCTGGGAGTGCAGGGGTATCGTTTAAGCTCCCATACAAAGAGTTTTTCTTTCCGTTGTGACGTTGATAAGTATGGCCTCTAACTAGCTGCGGTGAGCCTGCCGAGCATTTGAAGACATAAATAATATGAGTAGCTTTCAAATTTAAACAAACACGAGTGAAACGTGATAAATTTCGCTTTGAGGCGGATGCTAAACTTAAAAAAATCCTTTTCTTTGTTTCTATTGAGACAATACTCAATGATTTACTAAATATTTACTTAATATACTAATGAGACGACTTATCATCGTTTACAGGATACTAGTGTTACTTCTCCTGATAGAGACTTTCACATTTAGTTGCTAGATGCCAGCTCGTATGGCCCATATTCTTTTCCCCGTAAAGCACTGTAAGATTCATTAACTGGCATAAGGTCAAACCTCCTTTGTGAAGAGTGACGCAAAAGGGAGTTATTACAATCATTTCTCCACGGGTCTTCATACTGTCCCTGAGTTGAGCTCATATGCGTTCCTACACTTTCTTTATCTAGATAAATATTATTGTCCTTCCTTCCTTGAACTCTAGCCACATTTCCCTCCCCTTCATATGTATAGCCATAGGGATTAACATCTTCAGAAGATTCGTTTTGATTACATGACTGTATAGGGCCATAGTTAACCCTCAGTGTTAATGTACTATAACAAGGGTCTTCACAGGAGCCACGGAGTGGATCTTCAGACGTATCTTCTCTGCTTAAAGTGTTGTTTACTCTGTTTCCTTCTTGATTTATATATAGCTCATTATGAACACCGTCTTTAAATATAAAAAGAAAAAATATCATTTTGGAATATCAAGTAACAAGTTCCTTTTTAAAATGCTCAGCATTTTGTTTCTAATTAATTCAATGAGGTCAATCTATATGAGAACTCCAGTTGATAACAATTTTATCTAAATAATATTTCGATCTGAATTTGGATTTTAAATAGTGTATATAATGATTGGTATGTTGCATTACGATCTCCATATGACCATTGAAAACTATCATGTTTTTTATCTGTTTATATGAACAATTTTCAATTCCATTTATAGTACACATCGATTCACAAGATTTTAAACATACCATTCGCTGTTATTTTTTCATTATGTTATAATTTGTTTTCCAGATTAGTAGAAGGTGCAATGAGCTTTTTTGGTGAGTAACTGACATTGCATTCTCTTAAACACTCAACTGACCTTACAGGATTTTATATTTCTTTTCCTTTTGAAGATGTTGATAATTAACTTATCTCAAAAATGAAAAGAATAATTTGAATACTTTCTCTGTATAAAAACATATGTACGTTATCACTCTCATTTGAGAAATGATTAAATTGTGATGTTTATTATTCAACAAAGGAATCAAAGTGCGTGTGGTGTGTGAGGGCGTGTTTGTATGTGTATTTTGTTTTCTTTTGTATGCATGAAATTTACTAAAATAAAGCATTAAAAAAGGAATCAAAGTGCAATTGATTAGAAAACCTTAAATACTTTGAAATCTTACTTTTAGTAAGTTAAATGCACATGACCCCTTACTTATGCAGAAATATACCTTCATCACCTGCATACGGTGTTTGTATGTCTCAGTTGATTCGATACGCAAAAGCATGCTCTACGTATGAACAATTTCTACAACGAGGTAACTTATTGACAAACAAGTTGATGAAACAAGAATTTATGCAATCTCGTTTAAAGTCACCATTTCGTTTGTTTTATGGTCGGTACAATGACCTTGTCAGCTAATATAATATATCATTGAGTCAAATGCTGACTGACGTTTCACATACTAATTGTTAGTCCATAATTTATACGTACACAGAATTAATGGGGAATTTTGCCGTTATTTCCAGATCATGACAAGGTGCACACGGCGAGTAAGACTGGTCAGCAGGGGATGCTCACTCCTCCATGACACCTGATCCCATCTCTGTAGTTCTGGAGGTCTCGTGTTTGTTCTGCTCCTATTTTGTATTGTTCTATGGACTTTTGATCATTATTACTAGTACTGTTCGTTATCTCCTTATGTTTCATGAGAAAAGTTTGCACGATTATGAGGATATTATCAGGGTACATAGTTAACAGACATAAAAAGGTAATAAGCTACACCGTTATTGGTTCAAATTCTAGTCCTGCTTATTGAATAGGTGATAAAATAATAATTTATCATTGGCTTACCATTTACTTCATTCTTTTTGGTATGATATTTTCTGCAATAAATTTATTGATATAATCAGTACAGCATGTTCAGTATTTTATCCTTTCGTTGAATGATTTGTTAATCATTTAGAAAAACAAAAATATCAATTTTACCTGCAAGTTATTCCGAAAAAAAGGAGCAAGCAGACAAATAATACTGATGGCAATACAACAAGAAATACAGTCAAAACTTTGTTATCGTCAAGGTTGAATACTTCATCTATTAGAAAATAAAAGACAACAAATGATTGATCGATATTTTTATTGTACTTTGTTATTTAATTGATTTACATACAGGTACTTATTGAAATTTTATCAGATCGTTCTCAAATGCATTATTGCTATACTATTCATTAAAAATGACAACAGTCTTAGATTGGCAGTATTATTACATTTTATTATATATATCCCCTTTTGTTTAATTGAATAGCGTTTAAGGAAGTATTTTATTTCTTTTAAGGACAAATGATACAACATTAAACAAACTTTTGTTAAAGAATTTGAAAATAACAACTTTGGTCATATTTAAATGAATAAAATGAATAACTTTCACCACGTAGTTTTTAACTTTTTATTCAAATTTGCACAAAAATGGAATTTAAAGTGAAAAATATTTGTATAAATTTATAAGGATGGTTTCAGAAGGGCAGACTTTTGAACATGACAGAGGGTTTACAATTTCTTTATATTCTATAAATTTATTATTTGTATCATTTGCAATGACATGAGGTAAAAAAAAAATATATAACTATCCAGGCGCATCCATTTTTTGTTTGTATCATCTGTACTTAAATTACACATATGATTATCAAACTTTTCAAAAAATATACCATCGTTTTTTTAGCGGTGTTAATCCCTATTTCGGTGATATTTATTACTGTAAAGGATTCACAATGTTAAAGTCATGATTCATTGATGAATATCGACATTTTGACTATACGCAATCTTCTCAAAATTCCGACGTAATAGTTTGAATTTAAGAAATTTACATTTATGATTTAAATTTTATTCAAGAAAACCGACTAAAGTGATGCATAATGTAGTTATTGAACATCATTATAAGATGTAGCCTAATTGTATTTCTTGAAAATAACATTAATTTGTTTCTAATTTTTTGCTTAACATAGAATCTTTAGAAATACTACCATTGCTTTTTCCAACGTTGTTGACTGTTGATTCAATGGATTTTTTTGTTGAAGATAAACATGATTCCATCAAAAAGGACTGTGTAATATCTGTATCTTTAGTGCCATGCTTGCTGGTTACATTGTTAATCTTCTGTTTTTCCTCAAAAGCCTTCGTCAAATTTGACACACAGCCACATACACGATGACAATACTCAGATTTGTCACAGTTGCATTCAAATTTACATCGTGGGCCGTAATGATTTTTTGGACATGTCAAGCTGCAATTATCCCCAAAGAATCCAGATCTACACTCTGTGTCAACATGAATGAGTAAAAGAATAAAATTAAGGCGTTGAATAATTTCAAACGCATTTCCAAGACTTGTACTCATATTGAAAATTTAAAAAAGAATCAAGAAGCATGCTTAATTGCAATATCTTAAGAAAAGTTTTGAACAAGATATATATCTTACTCACCGACACACATGTTATTTCTTTCTTCATAGTTTTTACAACAATACGTTTCATTCTCTTTACTAAAGAAAACGACAGAAAATAATAAATAAATAAGAATGACGAGTTTTAGTTTTTTAATGAGCAACAGTGGAGAATTATTACCTTCCACATACGTGTTTCCCAGTCAATTCAATTGATGAACTGACTGAATAGAGCAAAATGAAGAATTGCGTAAATCCATAAAATTTCACAATGATTATGAATTTTGCACAAAGGTACATCATATTTATATTATAGATTTACACAGTGACTTAACAGTCAATTTTGACATTCGATGCTTCATCCTTAATGTATCCAGATCTATTGCGGAAGTTTTCAACACATTTTATACTTTTCATGTATATAGTCACACCACGTGATACAGAATTATAGTAAAGAACAGTGCGACATTTTACTCTGGACACGACATAGTCCAGACTTTTTAGTACCATTTCTAATTATGATATCCAAAATATTTTTATATCACTTTGTGGGATGACTTTGCAGTATCCCAGGGTCTCATTTTAAACTTGCAAACACCTCCACTTCTAAAGATATGAAGTCCTAAAATTCAGAATCCCATGGAAGAATGGAGTTTAAGTCCCACCAACTATCCCACCATTCTCCCGTGGGATATTTTCTTCTTGGAGAATGGGATAAATCCCACAGATATTGACATTGAATTATTTTCTCCAACACATTGTTATATTTGGAATATATTCTATATATGTATAATGATGAGAGATTTGTTACTCTCATAATTTTTGGGATATATTCCATTTTTAAAGATGTTTGGGAGAAATTGTTTGATTGTCAATATCCGTGGGATTTATCCTATTTGAGCAAATTTGTGGGGGTTAAAAAACCTAATGGGAAAAAATATCCCATCTGACATTTTTTCTATCATGGGAAAATGGTTGGATAGTTGAAGGGACTGAAAACCCCACCATTTTCCCACGGGATTCTGAATTTTAGGACTTCATATCTTTAGAAGGGTGTTTGTGATTTCAACATGCGACACTGGGATATCCCGAGTCAAGGTATGGGAAATTGGTTAGACATTATAGATTTCATATGAATATATTCAACTATATTGGACTTGTCCATTTTATTTTCAAATGTTTCTCCTGATTATGTACAAATGAAATTCGGGAACGACGGTTTTATTAATAAAAGTTTTTTTTTTACATTGTAAACCATTGTAAAGGGACTTCAACACAAATTTGAAGTAAACACTTTCTTAAATGTTCGATATTATATCATGACATATACGTTATTACAGCATTTCACACGGAAATATAATAAAAACTTATTTTATAGGGAAACTATTGAAACTACGAATTTCGGGACGTGTTTAAGGGACAATATCCCTCTGCTCCACATTTCACGACTTTTTTTTTAAATTCCAAACATTGTTTTTCAGCAACAACTATAACATTCAATTCAAATAAAAATAGTTTGAAGTATGAAGCGTTGCTTACTTTTTCAGAAATGAATGATATGTCAAATCATGATTTGAAGAAAATTTGATATGGTCATTAGAAAGATCAATTATTTTGAATCTCACAATTAAATTAGAAATATGAGGTATATATACAAATAATATTTTCTCTCATACCTATCTAATTCCCTTTAGAAAACATACTGGAGCGATGCTTTTTAAATCAGAATATCAAATTGTTTTCTGTGCATGTAAAATAAAATGCATCCATAAACAAGAGTTATCGTTCCATTATCGCCCTTGAAATTCTTTTTTGATGAAATAAAATATTAATTAAATGTTTATAAACAATTCTGCGGCTGTTATTTCTGTACAATTAAAAGACTTACACGTTTAGAGAAACTGTTTAAAGAAACTGAGTATAAATGTTTTAGGTAAATTATTAAAAATAATTTATAAATATACTAGCAATAGAACTAGAAATCAACCTCTGAACGATGGGTATGGTTTGCTTGAGTTAACAATAAAATGGTCCTTATGATAGAGATCTGTAAACTCTGGCATGACATATTACTGAATTTCATGACAAAATGTCTGCAGAAAGTTATCTTTCTTATCTGTAGAGTTATCTCTCTTACCAGAGTATCAATGAACCTTAAATGACACAACCTTGTACTTTAATAAAGTATCCGTTGTCCTTTATAATAAAGATTGATTGATTGATTGTATATTGTTAAACGTCCCTCTCGAGAATTTTTCACTCATATGGAGACGTCACCGTATGCCGGTAAAAGGTTTCAAATTTTGACGTTTACTCGGCACTCAGGGCCATTGAGCAGTGAGGGATCTTTATCGTGCCAACGCCTGCCGCTGACACGGGGCCTCGGTTTTTAAGGTCTCATCCGAAGAACCCGCAACTTTCACTTCAAAGTGCCGAGCGCATGGAACAGTTACTCACGGCCTCCCGATCACGAAGCGAGCGCTCTACCGACTGAGCTACCGTGAACGGTTAATACTAAAGAAAAGTAAAGATTTGGTTGTGTATAAGTGACAAATAATTTAACTATTATTCAGAAAATCAGAGTAGTAATGTGAGAAACAAAACCAACTTACCAGAATTATCAGTCCGTGCTCAGTGTGCAGTGTATGCAGAACTTAATTGACCACACTGCACACAGTGTACAATATTGTAACCTTCAATTTTGTTGCCCATTAATGTCAAAGAGAGATGTCTTCACCATATCTGCATCCTTTCGGAAAAGAACAATATATGATACATTTACAACTTTTTAAATCATTATTTATCATGCATAATATTAAAATAAAACCTTATCAGAGTTTATAATTTAAAACAAATCTATATACAGCTTTACTCTTAAATTCTCTATAAAATAAAAAAAGTAGTAAGAATATGGATACATCAAATAGAAAAAAAAACATATCAATAATCGATTTGTACGTTTCACAGGTGACATGTCTTGGTCCCTAGAATGCGGTGAATTGCAAATAAAGGTCTATGACCACATGTCACACATATAATATACTAAATAGCAACTTTATACCCAGGCAACATTTAAATGGGAGAATATGGTAATTACGACCAGCACTTGGTTTAACTTAATATCAGTCTTTTTACTTATTCAAAAATTAAAGGTTATTGCATTTCACTTGATTTGTATTTGAATGCAAAGCATAAATCGAAGCCACAAAACAATCTTTTTATTAAAGGTTTTATATTGTGGAGCCAGAGACCAAGATCTGCTCCTAGAATGAGTTTCGGTGTATTGACGTTATCTTTATTGACAAAAGGCTAAAATGTGATCAGGAAATCAATTGTCAAGATCAATCCGACAGGTCTGCACAGTAAGCCGGATGTAAAGGGACGTCTTTAATTTACCGCACCTAAATTAATAGAAATAGATATTATTTGAGAAATTCAAGGCTGTATATTTACTGATAAAAATATGATTATCATCATAAATTTAAAAATATTCAGATTGTTATTCAATCGATACTTTTAAATAAATGTCTTTAAACTTATCATAAATATAGAATAAATGTACTATTTTCAGGCGGGAAAAGTAACAAGGGGATATTGCAATTATCATAAAATACTAAACTATGTATATCTGCTTGAGCGTCAGGCTCGGTGAATATCAACATACTCCTTGCATATCTTAATCATAATATTGACATAAAAAAGAGCAATGATTGCGTATTATTTTACCTTTAAGAATTCATTCCTATATGAATCAATACTGATAAAAGTCTGATATTTCCAATGTACAAATTTACTCTGAGCAGTGATAAAAAAATTTAAAATTTTAATTTTATTCTTAATGCCTAGGAAAAAGTGGCAATTTAAATGCATATTAAGGTATTCAATCCCTAACACTAATAGCAACAGATTCAATGACATTGAATACATAACAGATGACTGGGTTGAATACTCAGTATATTTAGACATAAATCCCAATTATTTCTATTAGCATTAATTGTGGGATGTGTCCTTATTTATGACCTTAAATTTTGGTAAGAGTTATATCCCTCTATTTTGAATGATAAAAAATTTCAAAGAACATCCGGGCAAAAAAATATTTTTAAAATTGTCATTGTATTTCTAAGCTTCAATGCATCTTTCAACCGCAGTATTTTTTTTTCAAAAAATGCTTTTCCCCATAGAATTCAATGCAATAATTGTTAATTAATTAATGATAAGTGAGTGAACTTTTTGAAAATTTCTCGCGGACAATCCTTTTCTACTATAAAAGCTTTAATTCAATATCAGAGTATTATGTACTTGATGGACATTTAAGGGTAGAAAATTCGGTCCTATTAGGGATGAAAATCTTTAATGAAAAATATTAAAACTTTAATCCAAAAAAAATATAATTATAAGATGTAGAAATGTTCGAAAGCAAATTTTTTTCACAGGTATCATCATTCCTCTCTTAGTGTTATGTACAGAATTTAGCAAATTGAAAACCCCAGTGAAACGTAAACAGTTTTTGCAAACTGGGCACGAGATCTGTTATAGTAAATGTTTACGATTCACCGATTGTGTTCAATTGTTAAGGTCTGTTCATCACAACTGCACGGACTGCAGGAACATTTTTACTCTGAATTTTCTGTATTTAAGTTTTAAAATTTTTCATTAATACATAACAATATTTCCACTTTTCCTAAGTATTAAGAATAAGATTAAAATTTGTGAAAGTGCAAGGATGTGTCAATCAAACCCATCCAAAAAATTTAAATTTCAATAACTTTTAGACGAAATAAGATTTTTTTAATTTATTTTCGTGCGAAATGCTATTACAATATATAAGTCGTGATATTATACAGAAAACATTAACTTAAAACCTGTGTCTATGCACCTTTATAACTTTTTTCAGGACTGCTTGCAAAATGGACCGACTGGAACACAGCTGCTAAAGTCGGAATTAATCTTGTTTGCTTCTGTGTTTACTGGTGTCATGTTGCTGTTCCTGTTCCTCCCCATCCGACAGATATAAAAGTTAAAAACGCAACATTATACTTGTCATATTTAACCTATCTACAAGGTCGAACCTTTTCTTTGAAGTCGATATATCAGTAGACATTTTAAAAAAAATTGTTTGAAGAGTCTTCACTCTTAACTATTATAAACACATCTTTGGAATTTTATAATTTATTGTTTGAAATTTTATTTAAAATATTACTTGTATAAACTCAAATCGTTATTTTGATATAAATTAGATGATGATATGTATGTGATACCATAGCATTTTTGATAAACAAAAACGATGATCGTTATGCTTGACTATATTCGTATATTTCGTTATTTAA